GGACTAAGTAGAGTGAGACCATAGCATCCAGTTGGAATTTGAATTTTTGACCCATTATATACAATCCAATCATTAAATATAATTTTTTATAAGTGGTTTATCAGTAAAATTCAACTGGATTATAGTATATTGAGTGTTTTATACACCTGTTTACAATAAAGTATTACGGTAGCTTTAGGATGAAAATTAAATTTATTTTAACTCTCATACCTGGGCAGGGTGTACGAAGGATACCGTAGTATACATTTATTCAAGTTCCTAATGTGATTAGCCATATTTCCTTCTTAGTTATAATGTTTTTCTGTGAAAATACAACCCTTAAATTAACATAACCCTACTTTCTATAAGTTAACATTTGACAGAATACAGAAATGACAATAAAGGCCAAGTTTTTGACGGTGACAGAAATAGTTTCGTCACGAAATTTTCTAGGGCACGACAGAAAACCGTAATTTAGCCAAAATGGGCCTAATTTTTTTCGAAACATAAATCTGACCAATGCTCAAAGGTCATTTGAATAGATACTGCTTTTTTCATACTTTTTTCACCCCCTTTTACATTAGACTCATACATAACTTATAATATAGTGAAAAGTAGGTGTACAGTGCCGTTACATTGTACAGTGGCATTATCCTCTGCCTATCCCTTCGGGGACAAAAGGCGTGATGTTATGTGTATTAATTTTTTTTACTATCTATTTTGGTGGAATGGTTACAAGCACAGGTAGTGGCCTCTGATTTCCTATTTCTCGAAGTAGACTATCTTTATTACGTAGACCTATGACGTAGACTTTGATATAGACTGTGATGAAATTCAATATATAACAATGGGCCATTCATTATCCTATATTAACTGGCGACAGATGAAACCAGGGAGATGCGCTATTTTTCGGTAAATTGTCGAAATGAATATTAGGTATTTATCCACATTTTTGGATAAATAGTCGATTAAAAACAGAAGTAAGCATTTATTCGGTACTAGCTTTTACCCGTGGCTTCGCTCGCGTCACAAAAGGATAAAAAGTAGCCTATGTGACATATACCAATACACACAGCGCCATCTATACCAATACTTTTGTTTTCCCTCGGGAATATCAAATTTTTCCAGGATAAAAAGTAACCTATTATTTAATCCGGACTTCTAACTTTACTTCTGCAAAAATTTAAAGCAATCGGTTAAGTAGTTACGGCGTGAAAGCGGAACAAACAAACAAACAAACAAACTCGCTTTCCAATTTATAATATTAGTCAGGATTAATCCATCTTGAGTACTCATTTATCCGAAAATTCACCCATCTATAATACCTTTGCCTCCTGCTTCGGAATACTAAGTGTTTAATTATAATAAGTATGTCATGTAAAGAAATTATTGATCAGTCTTGCTTACGCATGTACTATATAAGTTTCCATCACGCAAAAAAAGGTGTTATGTTATTTCAAATAAGTTGTATTAAATAAGTGAACAATAGCATGTTCCGTTGGATCACGATTAGAATCACGTCTTATATCATTAATAATATTATACAGCAATAAATAAATACATATTCTCTCAATGAACATTTTATTAGCAATAAAAATATCACTAAAGTACTTAAGATTAGTATTTAGAATTATCATATAAAATGAATACTGAAGCTACGAAAATTGTCAATTGTAAGTAAATAATAAAAATAAACCTAAATCATAAAATTTTTACTCAGTCATATAACCAGTATTGTAAAATAGTAACGAAATCTAGGGAAATTAATATACGGAATAAAAATATTATAGCAGTATATTAAAATTTAAAATACTCTGAAATTTTACAAAAGGTAAAATTAACTACATTAATGTATATAAATCTGTATAAAGTTATTGTACATCTCTTTTGTGCTTTTTATTTGGCTTGGATTGGGCCTCAGGTTGCTTCTGTTCTGATTCTAATAATTTACTTTGCCTTTTAGTTTTTTTTTCTGACACACTAATTTCACTTTCAACGTTCTTTGCTTTTGTGGAACCAGACTTTCCATTAACTGACTGGTTATGACTGTCACTAACTGTTCCTTGAGAAGCAATCTTGAGCTGATGTTTGCTGGAGTTTATTAATTTAGTATTTTTTAATGTTGAATGTAGAAGGCCATCTCCAATTTGTTTTTGACTGTATGGCTTAGTCTTGTCAAAGTCAACATAGGATACATTAAGTGCAGGTGTTGCCTTTTTCTCCACTTCTTCATCATCATCACCATCAGGACCAAGTTTAACACATCTGAAAATGGCAAAACCAATCAATAAACATGGGTACACACTTAAACAAACACAAGGAAAACAATCTTTCAATAAGTAAATTCCTAATTGATAATACTGTGTAAAAAAGACCTAAAAATCTTGGAGGATAATTAAGTTGTAGATAAATATTGTACCTCACATCCAGTTCTCCTCGGATATAAGGTAGTGCTCCATACAAGTCTAAGACCTCTATTCGGAATCTGACCTCTTGTCCTTCCTGGACATTTGAGCCAACCCACATATTTCCAGGTTCTTCTGTCGGTCTCGGAATAACAACATTGAACACCCTGAAATGACAAAAAGTTGCATAATGTATTTATAACATAAACCTCTTCTTCAGTAATTTTAAATTGCACAATATTTATTATCAAAGAGAAATTGACAATTGCACAACAACTAAATTAAAACTGAAAATATTTGAGAAAAGTTAAGAACCATTTAGTAAAAACATTTTCATGTGGTATTTACCTGTGCACAAGGATACCTAAATGTGTGGTACTTTTTTTATTCACAATTCCTGTGAGAGTAGCCCCCACAAATGGCCTGAATATAAAATAGTCTGCTTGAACTTGAAAGTGAATATCTGCATTATCATTTCTGATGGTTCCGACATTCTGAAGGACTCTGAGGTTCTTGTAACTTAATAGAATTCCATTGAATCTGAAAGAATATTTTTGTTTGTGTTGTAGATTTGTATTTACATTTTAGGAATATATTTCATTTTAGTTTTAGAGATTTATAAAATGCATTGGTGACTTACTCTTTGTCAAACTTTCCTATTTTGTAATCCAACAAGTTTTTGATTGATTCCTTAAGGTTTCCTAGACACCAGGGTTGCAGTGCAAGGTTTTGAGTTACTTTTTTTTCAATAATGCAAGAATTTTTATCGTTAGCTAATTTCTTTAATTCTTTGATATCAAATTTTATAATTGTGGACATTGTAGTACCGCATAAATTAATTTCAAAGAAATTCAATCAGAGAACCACTAAAGCAAAAAAGCAATAACCAAAACCAGAGTTAGTAAATTTTTGCAAACACTATTTTGACATTCCAAAATATTTTTTTGTTTTCCATTAGATTTCATAGACAATTCGTGTTGCCAACTTGTGGTAGTTTCTTGGACAATGGTTTTTGAACGATTTGATTAGTAATACACTACTCTCACAAGAATTGTGAATAAAAAAGTACCACACATTTAGGTATCCTTGTGCACAGGTACACATGAACATGACAATTTTTTACTAAATGGTTCTTAACTTTTCTCAAATATTTTCGGTTTTAATTTAGTTGTTGTGCAATTGTCAATTTCTCTTTGATAATAAATATTCTTTGTACAATTTAAAATTACTGAAGAAGAGGTTTATGTTACAAATACATTATGCAACTTTTTGTCATTTCAGGGTGTTCAATGTTGTTATTCCGAGACCGACAGAAGAACCTTGAAATATGTGGGTTGGCTCAAATATCCAGGAAGGACAAGAGGTCAGATTCCGAATAGAGGTCTTAGACTTGTATGGAGTATTACCAAATATCCGAGGAGAACTGGATGTGAGGTACAATATTTATCTACAACTTAATTATCCTCCAAGATTTTTAGGTCTTTTTTACACAGTATTATCAATTAGGAATTTACTTATTGAAAGATTGTTTTCCTTGTGTTTGTTTAAGTGTGTACCCATGTTTATTGATTGGTTTTGCCATTTTCAGATGTGTTAAACTTGGTCCTGATGGTGATGATGATGAAGAAGTGGAGAAAAAGGCAACACCTGCACTTAATGTATCCTATGTTGACTTTGACAAGACTAAGCCATACAGTCAAAAACAAATTGGAGATGGCCTTCTACATTCAACATTAAAAAATACTAAATTAATAAACTCCAGCAAACATCAGCTCAAGATTGCTTCTCAAGGAACAGTTAGTGACAGTCATAACCAGTCATTTAATGGAAAGTCTGGTTCCACAAAAGCAAAGAATGTTGAAAGTGAAATTAGTGTGTCAGAAAAAAAAATGCTAAAAGGCAAAGTAAATTATTAGAATCAGAACAGAAGCAACCTGAGGCCCAATCCAAGCCAAATAAAAAGCACAAAAGAGATGTACCATAACTTAATACAGATTTATATACATTACATAATGTAGTTAATTTTACCTTTGAAAAATTTCAGAGTATTTTAAATTTTAATATACTGCTATAATATTTTTATTCCGTATATTAATTTCCCTAGATTTCGTTACTATTTTACAATACTGGTTATATGACTGAGTAAAAATTTTATGATTTAGGTTTATTTTTATTATTTACTTACAATTGACAATTTTCGTAGCTTCAGTATTCATTTTATATAATAACTCTAAATACTAATCTTAAGCACTTTAGTGATATTTTTATTGCTAATAAAATGTTCATTGAGAGAATATGTATTTATTTATCGCTGTAGAAGTAGTGGTATGATCTAACGAAACGTGTTGAGGGTTCATTTATTTAATACAACTTTTTTGAAATAACATCACACCTTCCTTTTCGTGAAGGAAACTTGTACAGTACATGCGTAAGCAAGACGGATTAAATAATTTCTTTAGATGACATTGATAATTATATCAATATTACACTTTGTATTCCGAAGCAGAAGGCAAAGGTCGTTCTTAAACAAAGTTGCCATTTGTTTGAGCATAATTAAATAAATGCACTATGCCTTTACCACAAAGTATAGATTATGGTATAGATTATAGAGCTTCAGTCGACTGTCAAACTTATGCCATCATCGAATTTGTATGTTGTCGATTGGTACGATGCTTACATTCGACAATATATTTACATGGCATATTATGAAAACGTGACCAATCTTTTCCTATTTTAAACATTCAAATGGAGAATTTGGAAGCTGTTAATTACACCAAAGAATAGTGGAAAACATTATAAATAACACTTTCGTGTAAGATAAAAATGTCGAAGAATGGCGAGGTGTCATCAAACCAAGGTAATAGCTGATAATTGAAACCGTTGTAAATGGAAACATTTCAATGATTTAGTCGTAAATACTATATAGAAATCATTAATACCGTGTAAAAATGTTTCAGGCCCGAGTAGACCAACTATGCCGAAGCCTGACTTGAATTTATTTGGATTGGAGAAGCGCAAAGGTTTGAACCTTCAGATAGCCGGAGGTCCATCGGGGGATGGTGCAGCATTTATGCCATTTCCTGCAAACCCGCCTCCTGTACAGAGACCTCGAGTTCCATCTCGTACTATAAGAGATGTATTGCCTGAAAACACAAGGTAAATGTTTATTATTGATTGTTTATTACCTAATAATGCATTGTTTTTGTTGACGATTTTTTTATGGATATCTGATTAATAAAATCTTACATGTACAGCAGATGCTTGTGGTCAGTAATGATATTGGTTCTATGTGGGTATATAGGCTTTAAAATTGATCTACACAAAATAAAATTGGAATGTTTCAGAGACAGATGTAGGATATATCCGTCCATGCAATCATCAGGCAAATTGCAATTGTCTGCTACAGAGGTCTATGATTTCACATCTGATGATCTGCAGGATCTTGGTGAAATAGGTAGGGGTGCATTTGGAGCTGTAAACAAAATGGTCCATAGAAAGTAAGTGGTTCTTAATTGTCATGCATTTTAAAGTATTTTCGTGAATGCTTATCTTTACACCTGAGTCACTATCTCATTTTATTTTTTTTAAGAACTATGACTACCGTATCAACTGCACAATCAGCATGTAGCAATCAATTCTTATAAAATGAACCACTATTAAATCCAAACAACAAATTGTCTGCTGATTTGTTTTGTTCTATAAATATTTATAGTTTCAAGAGAGTGTATTTAAAAATGTTATCAAATTAACGCTTTGTATAAATTTGGTAAAGCTCTGCCTGAATTTTCTTTAAATAAAGTCTTTTGTAATAATTCAGCCAATCCATCATTATTATATTCATTAAAAATGTTAATCAACATTTTAGAACAAACCGTGTGATGGCAGTGAAGCGCATCCGCTCCACTGTCGATGAGAAGGAACAGAAGCAACTATTGATGGATCTTGAAGTTGTTATGAAGAGCAATGAATGTGTATACATAGTGCAGTTCTATGGAGCACTATTTAAAGAGGTAAGTCATCCACTACACACAAATTCTCATTATCAAAAATAAACATGTATTCTCATAAGTTCCCATCAGAATTTTGTTTCTTGCTGACTATATAATTATAAATGAATTAATTTATGAAACACTATTTCAGGGAGACTGTTGGATTTGTATGGAGTTAATGGATACTTCATTAGACAAATTTTATAAGTTTATATGTGAAAGGATGCAGACTCGAATACCTGAAAATATTTTAGCTAAAATAACACTTGCAACAGTAAAAGCTTTAAATTATCTAAAAGAAAAATTAAAAATAATTCACAGGTGAGTTTAAGATTTATAAAATGCTTAATTATGTTCCTTAATATCATAATTCATTTTCAAGGTAGCAAGAGTATGTCAAAGTCAAAGTCAAAATATTTATTTCAATTAAACCATAGTTTGGTACTTTTGAAACGTCAACAAATACTAAATAAATAATAGTCTGTCAGTCAGTCCGTCAGCGACAGCGTCATGCTCTTACTCTTCAAAGGAGGCATATTATATCTTCTATTTTATATAGATTCATTGCAATAATCATTTGTTTTTTCCATAAGCCATGCTGTAACATAGAATGCAAATACATGATTAAAATATTTATTGATCATCTTATCAACAGGGATGTGAAACCATCAAATATTTTATTGGACCGAAGAGGAAATATAAAATTATGTGATTTTGGTATATCTGGCAAGCTAGTGGACTCAATAGCACGCACTCGAGATGCTGGGTGCAGACCGTACATGGCCGTGAGTTCAAATATTAATTGAATATAATATTAAACAATTTGTCCCTACAACCCTCCATTACAACAAGCATTTGAAATGTTTACTAAAAGTTAAGATTAAGATTAACATATAAGAAAAGATGTTTTTTTTCTCATTGTTATAATTATGCACTTGCATGTCTTTCATCAGCCGGAGCGCATAGATCCTGGACGAGCCCGTGGGTATGATGTGAGGTCAGATGTCTGGTCACTTGGCATTACTCTCATGGAGGTAGCAACCGGCGCCTTTCCTTACCCACGCTGGGGATCTGTATTCGAACAGCTACAACAGGTTGTACAGGGTGACCCACCGAGGCTAACTAACACCAACAATGCTTTCTCCAACAACTTTGTGAACTTTGTCAATACTTGGTAAGTTAAAATATAAATCAAAATTTAAGAAATGAAGGTCAAATTGCCAATCTAACACATTTTATGTTAATTATAGCCTCATCAAAGAAGAAAATCAGAGACCTAAATACAACAGGTTATTGGAACATCCTTTTATTAAAGGTATTGATCAAAGCAGGGCTGATGTTGCTGCATATGTTTGTGAAATATTAGAAGCCATGGAGCGTAATGGTGTAAGTCCTTTCACAACAGACCAGCCTGCACAGGCATGGGTTGATTAATTAATGATTATCCAAAACTATTGTGTGGGATATTTGCTTGATATAAATTTAATAACACCAATTCACACTTGCAATATTTCACCATACATTTTTATAAATTCAAATTCTGCTCAAGGAATATGTAAAATGGTTTGTTAAGGAGATACTAAATTGTAACAATTCCTACTACACTCGTCAATCCATTTTGATTTTCTTTTAAAACAATCATTATCAAAAGGAATGCATGAGAGCGTACAATCCTTGAAAATTTTGTGTAACCTGTTCACAAATGCCTAGCTAGAATATTCTCATTTTTATAAATCTTGTAACTGAATATGAAATGTACTATTTCTGGTACTGCAGCCACTGTTATCTAATACTATTTTTTCATTGAACTTCCCTTTTCTCATATTTACGAGTTTTAAAGAGTTTGGAGCTGTTCCATAAAAAAAACGATTGTTTCAGAAGTTACAAAATCTCGTTGAACAGTCTTAAATTGGTTGACGTTCCTAAATTGAGTTTTCAGTCTTACTATTTCTATACTTATAGAAATATATTCTTAGAATAACAAACTTTATACACTGCAATATACTTAACAAAATAAATGAGAGAGAACATGCATTCAATATTTACTATAAGAGAGCTTAATTGCTGCCTTATTTAATATTGTCATGTTATTTGTAAGTTTACTAGGATTTCCATACAGTGTAGTGTCTTCTTAACAAAAAGCTTTAAAAATTTTAAAGTATTAGTCACTTTCAGGTGATTTTGTTATTTTAATCTATAACAAGCCATCACAGGCATATAAGAGGATTAAAAGCTGAATGTGACTAATATAATAGGCACCAAATCAGTTACTGAGTAGTACATTAGGGCAACTAGGAAAATTGTTAATTGATTTATCATAAATAAAATGTGATTGTGTTTTTTAGAAGTGTAACAAACTATGATAATATTAACTTTGAAATTTTGTATACTATAAATATTGTTAATGCCATGAATGCAGAAGCTTTTAACAAAAACCAAGGTGCAATAATCAGTATTGCTATTATTCATATAAAACTGGAAAGCTTTGAAATTATCAATAAATTCTTGAATTAATAATAACAGAAGAAGCACCACACAACTTTTGTATTTTCAGTATTCATGGTAGGGACAAACTTCTAAATAAACATTCTTTATTGTACTTAGGTACACATGTTCACTTAATGCAAGGGCACATCACGTAAGGACGGCCGATTAGTTACAACATGTGTGTTATTATATATTTTCTTTTGTTTGCAATATTGAACAATTTATTTAGCAAGCCATAATGTTAGAATTATTTAAACCTGACTAGCCGATTTAGGTACAAATGTAATGCGGGATGTTGGTGGTGACAATAATTTCTCCAGATAATTTTACAGATGATAATAGTATGTAGATAAGAGATAAAACTTGATAGAAATTCAAGTTTCATAACTTTAGTACTTACTCGATTTCATATATAAAGCAAGTTTATGTAATTTACATCTACTTATTGCCACTAACAGAAATCTGCTTCTCAGCATTTAAGCTTTTATGTTAAACTCAGAAGCAAGAGTAATACATAAAATAACTACACATATTAAGACAAATGATATGGTGATTTATTACATGTTATACATGTATTTGCTTATTGTTTCTCTGCATTTTCAAGTCAGTATGATTTTAAATTGAATATTAGTACAGCTTAATTCCTATAAATGTATCCGTTTTACTACTGGCAACTAAATATAGGCAAATGGAAAAAAATCTGTCATAATGCTAAGCCAATCTTTGGCTACTTTATCAAACAGTGGAAACTGATTATTAATGACATTGATTTAAAGTTCATGTTCAATCTTAATTTGCTAACATTTTACCAAATAGTTGTTTTATTGTTATGAATTATTTAAATGTTCAAGAAATCAAACTTTTCTGGCTTAGATAACTGTTAAAATGTTGTACAATAATTTCAATATACTTCTTTGGTTGGCTGACTAAAATGTTTGGGTTAGGAAATGAATTACATGTAAGTGATTTTATAAATTTGTATATACCAACTAAATAATTATTATAAATTTTATGATTGTATGTTATTGTTAACCATAGTTGGGTCAGATATTGCCTTCAGGTTTGATAAATAATTATGTTTCATCATAAGTTGTTGCTTTTCTGCTTGATAATAATCTATGCTTCATCTCTCGAGTTGAAATCAATTTTTATTTACTTTGACTGCCAAAAATCATTGGCTTGTGTTATTTTCGTTTAATTCATGGTAAGCTGTCTACCCTTTAGCATTGAATAATGATTTTATTCACTATGTTAGGTACACATGAATGAGAATTGTTTTAAAATTAAAGATAAAAAGTCACTTGCAAATTGTTTTAACAGTGTATTTAATCTAAATTCACCTATTTATAAGATGTGGTTCTCAATACTACTGTATGTTTAAGAAGTAGATTGGTAACAGTATGACTCTGTAGTTTTATTTTACTGAATATGTTATTCTAACACTTCACCTATTCTTTTAGCATTTAAAACATTACCAAACTTTAGAAACAATTTGTATTGCGTTCCATCAGATAATTGTGGTGTTAGATATAAAGCATCCATTGTTTTTGGCCGAATATCAAGTAATGGACACCAATCGTCTATTTTCACTATTCTATCTTTTCTCTTGCCCCAGAAGTCCACTGAAGATATTTTGAGTTTCTGATTATCTACTCTTATATATAAATATCCAATGATGTTCTTGAATGGTAAACTAGCTAGTGAAAGAACTGCTGTTCCAGTGATTCCTGAAACATAGGAAAATGAAAATTCTGGTATTAAATACCTATCTATTTTGAGTTCAAATGGAAAGCTTTTGTTAACAAAATAATGTTTACCAATATAAGCTGCTGTATATAGTGCCCCAGGTGGTAGTACATCCATTATTTCCATTAGACCACAACCAGGTATAGCTATTGATGTTCCCGTTAAGTGATATACTTTAAGCCTGTTAAATAATGCAACATATTTGATGAAAGGAAATGAAAATACAGTTTCATAAATACTGGAACTTTCAGGCTGGACTTCAATATTTTTTTTTATAGTTGAACAACATCGTTGATATATGGTATTGCAATTTCTGCTTCCTATCAATATCCTTAACATGTTCTCTTAATTAACAGTTAGTTAAATTAAATAATTGGATATTATAGATAACCTTAACCACAATATCTAACAATCAAACGCCCAGATGATTTTGACGTAAAGTCGTATTTCGTTCGTAAAGTGTCAAAAAGCTTTTTTTTCGTCCGATATCCGTAAATGTCTATGATCAAGTCTATGCGAAGATGCGAAGTCTTGTGAAACAAATTATTTTAAATAAGAAATATTATTTTTATGTTTTAAGATAAAATTGATATTACTTTTCTTGTTTATTTTCTGTATATTTTAAGTATCTTTTAATTTATTTGGTTCTGTGTCTTGAACTCTCGAATTAAGACGTTCATTGCCTAGACAAGTCTGTTGACTCCAATGACAGATGTTAGATGTTAATGTCAAAGTCATGCCATGCTTGAAGTGAGCATGTTGTTGTTTTGCGACTGCATGGAATTTTCGAAGTGAATACAAAACTACAAAATGAGCAATTTATTGAAAGAAATGTGAGTATAAATTATTTTATTTGATGTATGTACGCGAATTATGTAATGAGAGATGTAACAAATATAGAGTAGATTAAAACAGAGCTGTTCTAGGTGTCTGTTATTAAAAAATAACACGCGAAATAACACCAGAATAGTTGAATAGAAATAGTAGCTATAACAATACTTTGATTTGTTATGAAAAATATTACCCGCTATTTATATCGGTGAATAACAGTCATAATTCTTTTGCAAATTAAAAGTTCATAAATCACATGTTTTAGTTAATAGGTTACTTGCCATCGGACCATTTCACTGAAAACATGTAATTAACAAAAATGTTTAAAAGTAGTTATATTACTCAATTTATTTATTGTACAGTACAATTAATTTTAATTCCATGTGTTTCAGATATGAAAAAACTGCAGATTACACTGCATTTTATACCGGTGGAGATGTACAGTGGACATCAGATGGTGTTCATCTTCTTTGTCACTGCGATGATGTCATCAAAGTAGTTGATGTCAACACATTCTCTACTAGCCACACCATTGCACAGACTGACGAAGATGCTGAATCAGATCAAATTTATACTTTTCAAATGTCCCACGATAACAAATCAGTGGTAACTGCACACAAAAGTGGATTGATGAAGCTATGGGATCAAGAGACCGGACAGCAGCAGAAGATTTGGAGGTCTGGCCACAAAGGCCCAGTTGCCAAAATAGCATTTGAACACACAGATGAAAATATTGCTTCAGGTGGTTCTGATGGCAACATAAGGTTGTGGGACCTTGCACACAATACTTGCACAAGTAGTTTGCGAGGCGCAGTTGGAGTATTCTCTGTTTTGAAATATCATCCAGATGCAAACAAACAATTAATTTTTGGAGCAGCTGATGACACTAAAATCAGATCATGGAACTCAACAACTGGCAAGGAACATTTAATCTTTTCAGGACATTTCAGTAAAATCACTTCACTGCAGTTTACTTCAGATGGAGAACACATGGTCAGTTCTGGTAGAGATCGAGTATTAATATTGTGGAGTTTAAATGAAAGCAAAGCACTTAGAGTTGTTCCTGTATATGAAAGTGTAGAATCTACTATTCTATTGCCTGCAACATTTAAAATACCAAATTTTAAGAAGAAACTTGAGACCGAAGGGATATATGTTGCTTGTGCAGGAGAGAAAGGTGTTGTCAAAGTATGGAATATGTTAATGAGCCGACTCATGTTTGAACAAAATAATAGTCTTGTGTCTCCAGCAGCTGAGGAGGGTGGTTTGGCAGTAACACACTTGCTTTTTAATGAATTACGAAATGTCCTATCTGTTGTCACAGCAGATCACAACATTATCATTCATGATCTTGAAACATTTGAATGTAAAAAGCAGTTAATTGGTTTCACTGATGAAGTACTGGATATTATATTTCTGGGAAAAGATGAAACACATTTGGTGGTAGCAACCAACAGTCCTGACTTGAAATATTATGAAATTGATAGTATGAACTGCCAAATTGTAAAGGGACACACAGATATAGTCTTGGCTCTTGCTCGCTTCCCAACTAAACCTGAAATGTTTGTGTCTTCAGCTAAAGATAATTCTGTAAGACTTTGGTTACAAAACCCTGACAACAATATATCTTGTATTGGAGTTGGAGCTAGACATACAGCATCTGTTGGATCTGTGTTTGCCTCCCAGTCATCAAATGATTTCTTTGCATCTGTAAGCCAAGACAATTGTTTAAAAGTTTGGAATGTCCCTAAGGAACCCGCAAGTGACCAAAAAATTAAATCTTCTTACACAGAACTGGCACATCAGATGGATATCAATTGTGTATCCATATCACCAAATGATAAAATGATTGCTACTGGATCACAGGATAAAACTGCCAAACTATGGTCAGAGGAGTTGACATTACTAGGTGTACTTAAAGGACACAGAAGAGGTATTTGGTGTGTCAGATTTTCGCCAGTAGATCAAGTAGTCCTGACTTCTTCAGCAGATAGTACAATAAAGTTATGGTCTATAGCTGACTTGAGCTGCCTTAAAACTTTTGAAGGACATGAGAGTTCCGTTCTCAAAATTGAGTTCGTGAGTAGAGGACAGCAAATATTGTCAAGTGGAGCTGATGGATTACTCAAACTTTGGAATATAAAAACATCAGAAAGTAAAATGTCCCTAGATAATCATGACGGCAAAGTGTGGTCTTTAGCAATTAGTAAAGACGAATCAATAGTTATCACTGGTGGGTCTGATTCAAAGTTAGTGAAGCTCAAAGATGTAACTGCAGAAAAAAGAATTCAGTTAGCTAAGGAAAGAGAAGAAATGATACTACAAGAACAGGAATTAATGAATTTGTTACATGATAAACAATTAATTAAAGCTCTGAAATTAGCACTACGAATGCAAAGGCCAATGCATGTTTTGAAAATAGTTAATGAAGTTCTTGCTGGTGGAAACGAAAAGCTTTATGAAACCCTCAAAGAAATCAACCATACTCAAAAAGAAACTTTATTAAAGTTTGCTGCAGAATGGAATACAAATAATAAGAACTGTCATGCAGCACAACTCGTATTTAATATTTTAGCACCCGAAATTATTGCTGGAACCTTAAAAGTGCCTGCTTTAGCTGGTTTTATTGAAGGTGCATTACCCTACACTGAAAGACATTTTGAAAGATTAACAAACTTGCTTCAAGATCTTAACTTTATAACATACACTGTGAATTGCATGCAACCCCATGCTGTTAATAATGTGTAAATAAAAATAAAGGGTCCATGTGCAAAATTTTAAATTGTTTAATTTACCTTATGTCTACTCACAACATCGTTAACTGTATTTATCTGTTTTAGAGTGTAACCTATGACGCATGTTAATATTTTTCTTCAAACAAAGCTTGCGAAATGTTAATTTGCTTGTTCTGTGTATAAGCTGTGTATAAGCTCAGATACAAGAGCGTCAGCGCACGCGCAGCCTTTTTCCACGGAGAGCAAGTTCAAGCTGCGTGAACGCAGTAGTAGTGAAACGATCACGCGAAGCGGACCGCTCGCGGATCCGCGCTTCCATTTTCCGCGAGTCGCAAATGTTTAGTTTTTAAATCATGGATATTAAAATCTCAATTGCTTTAACATTACTTTTAACAATTTGCAATCAAGCACAAGGACAGAAAACGCAAGTGTAAGTAACTTCTTTATCTATACTATTTTGTCTTAGCAATGTTTACTTGCAAAAACACGTTTTCAATAAAATTCTTATTATAGATACATATTAAAGACCATACTTCTTAGTCACTGGGATAGGACTCGGTCATAAGTTAATACCAGGGATTTACCGAACACATATTTTACTTCTAGAAACGTTGTTTTACACTTCACTTAACTATTATGGTACCACACAAATCATACTGGATATGTGGGTACCTCTTATTGCTAAAATAGGTACTTCTGTTATCTAAAGATCTGCAAAATTACAAAACGAAATTATAAATTTAGTATGTAATTTTATGTTCTCCTATACGCATCACTTCAACCTAACTACTTTAATCGATCATCACAATATTAATTAATGAGTCATTGTAATTTAAGCGTTCAAAATAGGATCAGTTCTTACCGTAGGTACCGGTAATCATGAATTTTAGACAATTAAAATCGTACGAATGTACGTCTCAGTTTTAAATTGAAGTGTATCAAACCAACAGAAGGTAGGTAGGATGGTAACAGAGACGTTACTGTTAGATCAAACTGATTTTAAATAGTGTATGAACAATGGGCAGTAGAAATACATATAAGTATGTCAGTTATTCGTCGTAACCGAAGCTGATAATTCAATGGCTAAATTAAATGTTGTTAAATATAATTATGATACGTGTGTATGTAGAGTAGGTAGGTGGGTACTGCTACCCCCAATAGAATTTAGGTACTACAGAGCAAAAATAGCAGCAAAAGCTATCACTGCAAAATACTGGTTGGAGTATTTTGCGGTTATCTCTACCTTATGTGTTATATCCTAAATGTATTAGGTGTGTACCCATCTATAAAGTCTTGGGTAGACCAAATAAGGTTCTGTTTAGGATTCCTGAGACGTAAAGACGTCGAAATGTCGTCAACCAGCCTTGGCCGCGGCCCTCAAATACTTTCGACCTCGATTGAACGATTGAGCACTTACTAGTCGGAATAAGAAAAACTGTTAAGTAACTTTGTATTATGGAACTAAAGATAGTTAATTATATTAAAATACCGGTTTCTTTTTTACCAGTAGTTACAGAACATACCTATTTAACCTACTATAAGGAAAGAGTGGAGATTAAGAGTTCCAAAAGCTATGGAATTGTATTGGTATGGACAAATTGGACAGTCCTCTCTAAAAACGGACCCTAGAAAGTAAATTCTAAAATCGTCTAAATACCAACATAATACCTACTTACCTACAGTCTGGCAAACGAAAGTAGAGAGAGAGTAACCAGACGTGAAGACGTAACAAACAAACAAATTATTATAAAGTACCAAATTAGGTTACTCCAGGTATGACATACAAATTTTTGGGTTGCAATACTGATATTTTTTAAATTTGCCGGGTTTTTTCAGTCTCTACTTTCGTTTGCCAGACTCTATACTGTCTACCGTGGCC